TAATTTTCCGTGTGGAATTTACTGTATAAAATGCGTTAAATTTAATATAAATATTTATCGTATTGTATTTTTCTTTAGGCACAATATCGGCGTATTTTATGTCAAAACCGCATTAATGCTTACGATGCTATTACTGAAGAAAATCCAACCCGTCCGACATTACTATATATGATTCGATTAACTTTGCAGCGCATGCATGGGAAAACGTTACGGCAAATACAATTATTCGTAGTTGGAACAGGGCTGATATTCTTCCGTCTACACTATCAACAGGAAACAATCTTGATTCTACATCCGAGGAAAGAGAATTAGAAATGGAGATTGTCAATCTCATTGAACAATTACCAATCAATGATCCTTTGGAGGTACGAGAATTCGTGAATATAGATAATGAGATGAGTGTTGGAGAAAGTGCAAGTATAGATAATATTGTAGAAATAATTAACGAACAGGAGGGAGGTGAATCAGAAGAAGAAGATAGGGAAACGGAAGTTAAAACGAATGATGCGATTGTAGGAGTCGATAATGTGGTAAAATATATACAACAAAACAATCTAGGAGTTAGTGCGTCCTTAATGAAAGACTTACATAGTCTTAAAAGGCTTATTATGTACAAAGTATTGAAAAGAAGAAGCAAGCGACACTAGAAAAATTTGTTGAGTCTTCGATTCAAACAGATAAAGAATAAAATTTGCTTGTGGATTAATGAAAACGAACAATGATTATAAGGCGTTAGCTAAACAAATATTAATTGAAAATCACCCAATAAGATTGCAGATTACTTGATATAACGGAGTGCTACGTAGCTTATTATGATATCCGTTATATCGTGAAAAACTCGATTTAGCGGATCTCTCGATATAACGGAGAAAAGGCTCGGAACCGTAGTCTCCGTTATATCGAGTTTCACTGTGTACACGTTTATGTTATGCAATAGCTAAATAAGAGCCTGGAAAAATAAACAGCAAACAAACATCATATGATCACTATAAAACCAAAAACGTAACCTCCTAAATCAATCCAGTCCTATTAATGTTATAAATTTTGTGGGGCGAAGCCCCCCAAAATTTATATTCTAGTTACGTAATAAAAATTTTAATGCAGCTAATCAGCGTTTCGTGTTAACGTCATACTGCTGGTAGTTACTCTTTTTCCCTTTCAAGTGTAAGATATAACGGATTTAGTGTCAATTACATATGCTTGCTTACGCATAAGCTGTCCGCCTGCCAGTATCTAATATTCTTGTATTTATTTGACATTTATTATCGTGTGCTTGAACCGAATATTCTTACATTGATACAAGTCACAAACAATCGGGACACCATTTACTATTATGTCGCGAAGAGAGGTGTTCACTACGTTCTTAAGACAACGCAGTGAAAACAATGGAATGACAATGCGTTGAGTAACCGTGTGTTTGCTTATTCTCTGTTGCCGTATTTCTTAGAAACAAACGCTATAAGACTCTTCCTTATGTATTATGTTGCTACAAGGTTTGATAAGACAATTCCCAACATTAATCAGCAGAACTGGTTAGACGTAATACAATCGATTTGTTTGTATCTCCAGCAGACCTCCGAGAGAAAAGAAGAGAAGATATCAACGAGCGAAAACTATATGGAGAACTGTGGAAAATTGCGCGAGATATTACACAAAGAGCTGTTCGATTTGCGGGCGAGATATTCTTAAGAAACTGCAGAATCTGAAATGCAAAAAAGTGAACAAGTAGATAATCAGACTGATGGAAACAGCACCACTAATAACGATGATAATTTACGTGAGCATGAAAACGATGGAGAAAACAATGAAGAAAATGACCCATCAGCTGATCGATTCCTTCAAAACCCAAGAAAACGCGAAGCAAAAGGTCGCCCAAAAAGTTCTAAGCGAACAAGCGAGCAGAAGAGTTGAGATCAGTCAGGCATTAAAACCAGCATGGTAATTGTGGAGAGCGTGGCCTAGGGCGCTCTCACCAGTTCATTGAGCCAATCGAATTTGGAAATCAGTTTGTCGTTGGCTAGACAGCGCTCATCGGCTATATTACGAAAACGGTAATAATCAAAAATTACACTCGCCAATTACACAAAGTTTATTCACTGTCCGCTATCACAAACCATCACGTTTATGTCCTTAAAAGGTTATTTGACCAAATTTGGTATCGAGCCGTCGGGGGGTAAGACGATCCATCAAGCCATCAGATGGCTAGATGGTATTACTCTTTTTGCTAAATTTATATTTGCAATTTCCCAAATTCGATTGGCTCGATGAACTGGTGAGAGCGCACCTAGTGTTCGAAAAAAATTAGCTAAATTAGGCAATGTGTTTTGAATATTACTATAACTGGACTGGACAATAAAATTGGCCGTTTAACTAATGTTACTATTACCATTGATTGCACGATTTATTATACTGATAATTTGGCTCCCTATAATTCAACTTACCCCACATGGCTCATGGTACCTACTGACTTTATATTCGAATGGAAGGAGCAAATCCTGCTAGTATCACAGCTTTCTTTCCACTTCACTTAAAGAATTATGGCTCAAACATCAACCATCACTTGGCTATAGAGACTCAATTCCTGATCAAATTTCTCAAACCCCAGCTCTTAATATTAATATGCTCAAGCACAAACAGTCTTGGTTGGTGTTTTAAGAAAGCAGCTGAACAAGGATATGCCAATTGCACAATTTAATCTTAGTGTGTGTTATGCATAGAACTTGGAGTGGAAAAAGATAAACATAAGGCAGTTGAATGGTATCAAAAGCTGCAGAACAAGGACATGCTAATTTAATGCACAATTTAATCTTGGTGTGTTATGTCAATGGAATTGGAATAGAAAAGAATAAAAAAAGCGGTTGAGTTGTATCAGAAAGCAGCTAAACAAAAAGTTGTTTTTGCAGCATATAATCTCGGTGTGTGTTATGCAAATGGAATTGGGAGTAGAATAGATCGACTAAAGGCAGTGGAATGGTATCTAGCTAGTCATAGTTTTTAGATAAGAACGTATTGGTGTGCAATGTAATCTTGGTCAGTTGGAAATGATCTAAGAAGTGCTGAAAATGAAAATGTTGATTACTAAAAAGTGTAGCCACTATGAAAAAGTATTATGAAATAACTGTTGGAACCAATCGCCGGCAGACTACAAAATTGAGCCTTGCATAAATTGGGCATAATAGCCAAATTGCCGCTCGGAAACTACTTATTTCGTGTGAAAAACGCGTAAGAACGAATAATGCGCTCGAGAATGACAAGTTAGACTGCTGTATGGTTAAAATAAATGGCATGTGTTAATAAATGTTAAATTTATTTTTGCATTCGATAGTAGATTTATCTACTCTTTCTTCTATTATATTTACCGTAACAATTATAATGTGGTGTTTCTTATTAACAAACTTTACGTAATTGTTACCACACAATGACAAATTTAATGGAACGTCTACTACAGACAAGCCAGGTACAAAATGAGCTGTCGGCTGCATATAATCTGTGTAAGACCTTTAATTTTATATACAATTAATTTATGGCTTATGCCTTTGTCTTGTCGCTAGCAAAACCCCTGCCATTGCACACATTTTGTTTATATATAAACGCGTAAAAAAGTTCTCAAGCTTTCCCAAAAGTTTTATTCTTATAACTAATAGCTGTACGATTCGAATTGTAAGTTTATATGTCACAACGTATAGATAAGTCTGATAAACAAACCGCCGATTTAGCATTTGATGCTTGACAAAAAATTGTGGCTTGGATGAGATTAAATATGAACAAAATTATTGGTTTAGAAGAACACATGAAGCAGCATTGCATTGGCTTGTATTCAATATACAATTATAGCTGGCTTTAATGCCATAAAATTTATCAATAAACAATTTGAAAACTTTTTTGCAAATAATGTGACATAAACAACTTGAAGTTCAAACGCAATTTCACAACCGAGCAAATAGATTAGCTTCACCATTATTCACGTTGCTAAACGTTTTGTTGGTTACTTTACCAGATGTAATAATTACATAAGCGCTTAACTCTGTATACAACAATTCAAAGTCATTAAGCACTTTACGTGCTCATTACGGTATTTGTACTTCACTATTTATATTTTTGTTAAAACAATACTTTTTCGTGGGATTATTACTGTTGGTTGTAACGTGGTGTAGATCATCGATCTCGGGAGTCGGGAAAATTGATTGTTCACGAGCCGCGTTTACGCTTAGTTTGGGGATTATCCTTCAGGCTATTGAATTATAAGTAGAAGCCGCCTGTAGTCTAATTAGCCAATTGTCTACAAGGATGAAAGCCTAATGTTTAAGGTCACTAACTGTATATTCGTAGATAAAATTTCATGACAGAGAGCCGTTTGAACAAGTCAAATCTGACATAGATGTAGCGTGGTAAATGTCTACTGTAAAATGGTTGTAATGTAGAACTTCAAAGAAGCGCTAGTGTTGATTTTATGAGTAGTTGAAGTAAATGTTTTTTGATGACTTGAGACAAGTAGCCGCCTATGTCAGGTTGTTACGTTGACTGATGACATTAACAAGTGGAGCCACATTCGAAGATGTCTTTTTACTGACTCGCAAACCTATCGATTAACGATCTATATTTTTAGGTTTAACGCAAGGCTGCGATTAAACTGATTATATTTACTTTAAAATAGTTAATTTACATCATATCTTGTTACATTCATTACGCTAGCTCCCTATAATCAGCGCCGCAGTTGTGGCTGGCATTTGACTAGTACCTGGCCCCCCCCCCCCCCCCCCGATAATCGTAAACGTAACGTCATCCCCCATTTTAAATTTTGACACGTAATTCGTTGACCAAGTAGTGGTGTGGTTATGGCAATAATAGGCACGCTTTGTTTACCGAGTTCAACTGATCTGTGCAGTAGTTTTCAAATCAACTACAGCACATACCTATAAAGATCGTCAATACGCAATACCCTGTTGTTAACGCTATTACAACAGATCACGCTTTCCTTTTAGTCGACGTTCATTTTTATCATGGAGGCCTTCTGTTCCTCATACCTCAGATTAGTAACCCTGCACATCATCCAGGCTGCAGGGTTCGACAAGACTTCAGAAATAAGCATTGACGTTTTAACCGATATTTTTGGTCGTTATATAACGCTTCTTGGACACACGGTCACAGAAAACGCCAATCATGCTGGCCGAGCCACCCCAACCATTTTAGATCTAAGCCCAGCATTTGAATCACTCAACATAGACATGAGCGATCTCAAGGAATGGGTGACGGAAGGTGACGGCAAAACGTTGGAAAATCTCGGACTGTCGATTCCCAGTCCTCCCATAAGAGGTATTTCCTGAATATTTTATTCTGATTAAAGCCTTTACGAGAGTATCAACGCACCTTGTATCATGGTTTTGCAGGTATACTTCAGAGCGGTTTAGTGGAAGATCAAAACGAGGTGATGACCATTAATCCATTTCCACCTGATGTGAAGATAGTAGAAAAGGTAGAGGAGATGGGTGACGAGTTGAAAGAAAACGTAAAAGAAGATGATGAAAGTGACGTGAAGGGTTATGATGAAGAGAAGGTTGAGGAAGAGAAGAATGAAGGGGCCATTGAAGAAAAGGCTGATGAGAGCACCGCAAAGTCAGAAACAACGATAGGTTCGCCTATCGATAAGGAAGTGAAAGTTGAAGAAATGGTTATAAGCGAAAAAGAAACGAAGACTGATGAGGGGCCGCCGTTAACAGAAGTTTCATTACATGCTAATTTTAATCAAGACCAAGATGCGGCCAACCTGAAGCGTAAAATAAGATCTCCATCATGTTTATCCGCCTATGCCAAAGCCTCCTCATCTGATATAGTCCAATCGACTCTCAAAGCCTTTTCCTCACTGCAAGACTCTTTTTGGGAGAACGACGATGTACACACGTCGGGGTTAACACGGAAGAAACACCGGCTTGATGATGCGCCAGGCTGGCTTATGCCGTATAGCAACAAATCATACTTACCAGAGGCATGGGAAAGGGATGTCAAGTTGGCAGAAGTAAGAGCCAAGTTTGGCTTGGACGTACCGTTCATAGATGGCGTTTCGCTTGTAGAAGATCCGAACGCTGAGCCGCCATCACCTGATTTCTTGTACATTTCAGCGGGTTCACAACAACACTCTCAACAATCTCAACCTTCTAATCAAAAGCAAAAGCAAGAAACAAAAGCATTACAACAGCAACGACAAGGATTAGCACAGCTGCAACAAGCACGGCAACAGCCGAAACAACGACAACAAAAACAACCGCCAAAGCAACAAAAAGAACAAAAACGGGAGCAAGTTCAGCCTCCGTATAATTCTACGCAACGGCCGAAAAAACCCTCGAAAGTCAAACTGAAACCGAAACCTACGAAATCTACGCCTGCATCGGCCAGCACTCCTATGAAAATAAAACTTCGCATACCAACGCCTCACAAACAATCCTCGTCGCCCGCATCAGTTCCATCGACACCCGTATCCGCAATATCAGCCTCGTTACCCCCGTCGACACTCAACACACCATCCGTAGTCGTATCAATACCCACCATGAACGACGAAGAGATAAACTGTATCTGCGAGAATCCGCACATGGACTATGGAAAATTCATGATTGCCTGTGATAATTGCGAAGTTTGGTATCACGGAAGTTGTGTTGGGTTTGGGGATGGGACCGATGTGGTAGTTGACAGTTGGTTTTGCATGAGGTGTCGAAAGAGAGGGGAAAGTGCAAAGACGGAGAAATAGAACTTGTGAATAAGGTTTTTAGCGATGTGTGTTGTGTGAGCGTTGTGTGAGCGTTGTGTGAGCGTTGTGTGAGTGTTGTGTGTATGTCTGTGTGTACAGCTTGTATTAAGGCGTGTGGGGTAGTGTATGATAAGTATATAAACAAAACAATCGTTCCCTCTTTCTGCTTTTTAATTCAATACGATAGAGAATTGGGCGCCGGGGGAAAGTACATATTAAAATACTTTATATTCAAAGTAATAAATACAAATAGTCAATATGCATTCTAACAAAAAAAAAAAAAGAAAGTTATGTTGTAAACGTTTCATTCTAATAAAGTGGAAAGATCAACGAAAAAGGTATCACACATATAAATATACTACCGCGCGCGAACAAATTGTCGACTGAAAATTCTGAAAATTCTGAACATTCAACCTTTAATAGTTTTAGGGATAAGCATTCCCCATTATGCCAGCGTTTCTTTGCCCGCTTACGGATGGTGATGACGCTTTATCATCGTCAGTGCTTCATATGTAACACTCTGAATCTGATAATGTCAGTTGAAGCCACAATTCGTCGGCTCTTTCATTGCGTTGGCGTCTTTACTGTTAGCAACAATAAGTATATATTGCTGTTGTTCATTTGATCAATTATTGTTACTCAAGTAAACCCTGTCCTGCTATAAAAATGTCGTCTATTCGGACAAAATTCCTTCTTATGACGTATAATGTCTTTGGTCAAATTCCCATATATAAGAACATTCTATAACAATTTTGATTATGTAGTCGGATAATCTATTGCATGCTTTATTTTCTGGCCTCGCCGTTTATTTTTATTTGCATTGTAAGATTAATTATGGCAGAAATAAGGATAACGAAAAAGACCTTGCAATGTTATTATTGGCTGATCTTAAGCATCTCTTTATCGAACGTTACTTGTAACCGGTTTTATTTACGCGCGCGTCTGGGTGACTGTTGTGCAATGTCTGGTTTTGACGTGTCAGAACTTTAATGCGTTTCAAAATAGAATTTTCTAACAAGCTTGACCCGTTGAAATTTCAAGAGAACAAAGCCAAATAATCATAATCAAGAATGCTTAATCTCGCGGCTAGATTTCCAACTTTCGTACTCTGGCTTAATTCACCTCCTCACCCGCAACAATTAGGTAATAAGAACATCACGTGGATTGCAAGACTGCAAGCATCAGCCGCGACATTCAATATTCATACACGACAGACTTGATTAATTTTATCGCTGATCGTAGTGTTTATTAATATGATATTATAATTATATAACAACAGTTTACAACACACCCTTCAACAATGAAGCTTAATTTTGTGTTATCCAAGCGCGCATTTATGACACGGCAAGCCGAAATTTCGGATGTTTGAATTGCAAAATAGACGATATTAACTTTAGCCATCGAGCGTCTGTAACAGTTTCTTAAACGCATCCGAAACATTAATATTTCGTACGTTGATTGTGCAATCTGTGTACGAATCTAAGCAGTACAGTAATCAACGTAACTTGTTCACATAGTAATACTCAATTTATAAAATACTATTAATATTAATGTGGTAAGTGTTAGAACTCAAGAATACTAATGCAATAAATAAAGATCACAAACGATAATAAAGTTGACTAGAAAGACGCAATCAAAGCTGCGAAAAAAACCATTTACATTGGTATGATAAATTATAAAATATAGCATATGGAACGCTTATACATGAAAATAACAAAACACTAGTTTAATACCCACCACCACAAAAATAGCCCATTTGTTGCACTGTTGTTAAGTTTTGTTATAAAAAATTATCCCTTATTTATATAATTTATAAAACAGATACTGTGTATTAAAATTTTAATCTAATTATACTTCTTACCCACTTGATAAACCTCTGTCAATTCTTGAATCTTCTCTCTTAACTTGAAACTATCATTATAAGTGAAAAAATAAACCTTATTTTGTGCCTTAACGTACCCTTGTTCAGCTGCTTTATAATATAATTTAACAGCTTTCTGTTCATCTTGCTTTACTCCAACTCCCTTTTCATAGCACCAACCAAGGTTATATTGCCCATATGCATTTTTTTGTTCAGCTGCCTTTTGGAACAGTTCAATAGCTTTTTGAATATCTCTCTCTACACCAATTCCACTTTTGTAACATAGACCAAGACTAACATATGCATACTCATTCTCTTGCTTGACTGCTTGCTGATACTGTTCAACTGCTTTTTTAACATCTTTATTTATGCCTATTCCATTTTCAAAACACCAACCAAGATTATCTTGTGCAAAGGGTTCCCCTTGCATAGCTGCTTTTTGAAATAATTCAACAGCTTTTTGATAATCTGTCTTTATACTAATACTTCGTGTATATAAGTAACCAAGATTATTTTGTGCACTAGCATCTCCTTGTTCAGCAGCCTTTCTATACCATTCATTTGCCTTTTGCTCATCTTTTTCCACTCCATTTCCATTCTTATAACACAAACCAAGACTACACTGTGCCTTAGCATCTCCTTGTTTAGCTGCTTTTTGATACCACTCAACTGCCTTTTGTTCATCTTTTTCTACTCCAGTTCCATAACTGTAGCACACACCAAGACTATACTGTGCATTAACATATCCTTGTTCAGCAGCTTCTTGATACCATTCAACTGCCTTTTGTTCATCTTTTTCTACTCCATTTCCATATGTACACTCACTACCAAAAAGTATTGGCCGAAATTCGCCGATCATCGCAAAAGCTTGATAAACAGATGAAATAAAAGTT